ATTCCTTCTTTCTTTCTTTTGGTTTTTGAGACAGGGTCTTGTTCTCTTGCCCAGGCTAGGTGCCATCATGACTCACTGCAGCCCTGACTGATGGCTAGGTCTCAAGCAATCTTCCTGCCTTGTCCTCCCAAGTATCTGGGACTACAGGTGTGTGTTACCATGCCAGCTAATTTTTTAATTATTAGTAGAGACGAGGTCTTACTATGTTGCTCAGGCCAACCATTTCTGATATTATAGTGTACTGCTATAAGAAAAAAAAAGTAAGTCACAGAATACTATGTGTCAAAGAACAATTAGGAGTTAAGAGTGCTTGTTCAAAATGTACGTTTTTAAAAACGATTTGAATAAAGGAAATAAAGTAAAATACAAACTAAAAGGTACTCATTAAAAAAGAAAAAGCCAGAATGTCATTACTTTAAAAGTCCTATATTGTATATAGAATCACAAATTTCTATAATCAGGCACCACATTTGCTGATTCATAAATATACTTCTTTGGCTTAATTCTCCCCCCATTTTTCTGTAAGCAAAAATAAATCAAAAGTAGAATTGATAAGAAATTACGGTCATGTAAATGTGATTGGCCTAAAATGCAGTGCTTGGTTTTCTGCCTCCTTACTTGTTTTTGTACAGACTGAGATAAACAAATTACTTTTGTGTTTTCCAAACGTTTTTAATTTTATTACTTTGCTTTCTGCTTTCATTCACTATTATCCATGTCATTATCCTCCTCCTCACCGTCATCATCATCATCATCGTCACCTTCTGACAAGTCAAAATCACTGAACCCCAGAGCCATGTTGACTTTCTTCCCCCTTCTCTTAGATGTGGTTTTGGAAGAATTCTGCTTGGCTTGCATGTTTATCTGCATCCCAGAATGCATCACAGCTCCTGCTTTGTTCATTGAGAAGATATCCCCAAAGCCCATCAGCATCATGGCCTGCAGACTTGGGTTCATGCCATGGCCCTCCCCGTTACTTGTTGCTGTGATCTGACATGACATCTCTGCACTGTTTGACTCCTCTGTTTTAGATTCAAAGTAAGACTCCTCAGACATTCTTGCAGCAAGAGGCAAGAGAAGCTATCAAAAGGGAAGAAAGGACAGAAGTAAAAAGAGAAATTAGGACCAATTTAAATCAGGAAAATAGATACCACAAAATTAGTTGGCACTACACAGGAGGTAAATGATTAGTGAAATAAATGAATGTAGGGAATTATGTGAGAATGTATTTAATGGCAGATTTGGCTCCAGCATATTTGCCATAATGACTGACAGGATAAATCACAACCAAAAGTTTGCAAAGCACCACAGCAAGCCAAATTTCAAATGGAAAAGAAGTTGCAAGTTTTAAGCCCTCATTTTGCTTAAAACCAAATAGTTTTTAGGATTTATCTTAACTTTTCCCAATTTCACTTTCACAAGAAAACATTTAGTTAACCATTATATTTTTTACAAAAGAAATTAAGCAGAGATTCATTCTCAAATGAAAAATTAAGAAACTTTATACCCAAAAGATAAGCTCAGAGGAAGCACAAAAAACAGTTCAGCAGTCAATACAGTTCTAGGGAAATGTGGGTTGTTGACTACCTTTTTATCTGGATTAGTGCTCTGAATATACACTAAAATTTAGTCTAGAATTCACTTGCTTCCACTTATTTATTTATTGTAGCCAGAACTGCTGTAATACTATTGATTCAAATTATCAAATAATTCACTTGTGAACAAATTCTAGATGCTGTCTCTCACATTTAAGTTAGATGTAAGTATGTAAACACATGAAAACTGGGAAGAAAGGAGGAAAACAGTGTTAATTTAGATTGTTCTAATATGCTCTAATATTCAAGTTTTCCTCTTTCGACAGAACTTTTTTCTTAAGATGTCACCGCTCACAGTGGTCACAGACATTTATCTTCTACTTTACGTAATTATTTGGAACAGCCAACTTATTCCCATAAATGTTTGGGCATATCCATTTCAGGGGTAAAACTGTTAGGATATGAAAAATGTTACTGCCTCTTCTTTTGAGAAACAAGCAAATCAAGGCTTATGTTTTTGGCATAGTTTCAATATGGATACATTTATGATAAATAATGTACAAATAATATACTGGGATGACCTCTATATTCTGGTACCTAATATTCAGGATCAATTTCCTAATTTTTTTTTTTTTTTGAGACAGAGTCTCGCACTGTTTCCCGGGCTGGAGTGCAGTGGCACTATCCTGGCTCACTACAAGCTCCGCCTTCCAGGTTCAAGCAATTCTCCTGCCTCAGCCTCCCGAGTTGCTGGGATTACAGGCGCCCGTCACCACACCCAGCTAATTTTTTGTATTTTTAGTGGAGACAGGATTTCACTATGTTGTCCAGGTTGGTCTCAAACGTGTGACCTCGTGATCCACCCGCCTCAGCCTCCCAAAGTGCTGGGATTACAGACATGAGCCACCGTGCCCGGCCTCAGTTTCCTAATTTTTAAACTGAAGTTGGAGCTGAGTTTTTAAAAAGTAGCTCGCTCTCTTGGGAAAAACCCTCCTGGAGTCGTTAGTTCAATAACTTTACTTTCATATCATTCAACTGAAAAGTATCCATTATATGGAAGAAAATAATTGATTTAGATCCTTAAACACTGGAAACAGGATGTTATTTCCCTGGCAGTCAAACTTCTCAGCTTCTGAAATTTGTTTTCAATTGTAAGATATTCTCAGGAACTCTTTGTGGCTCATTGTATTATTTTGAGGGTCATTCCTCATATTAGGTTTGACTCTAAAGATCTCTATAAATGTTTCTCAAATAAGCCTGTATTCTTAAAATAAATAAAATGTTTACATCAAGCTTCAACTATAATTAGAAAATAAACATTATCCATATTTATGCATAAAGGATTAATCTCCCCAAATATCCTTAACTAATGTTTTAGTTTTAGGAAAGAAAATAGTGCCCTTGAAATTAATCGAATGATACAATTTTTTATGAAGTTATATAAATGTTAAACTTACATAATTAAGATAAGGCCACATACAGGAAGTCTAAACCTCCAGCCACTTCCTTTTTAAAAGGTTTATTTCCTCTTTCTCTAAGAAATCTCAGTTAAAGCTAAACAGAAACTGATGTGAGGACAAAAGAAAATACCTACTTACAAAATATCTGAACATAAACTTTCTTTCCTTCAGAAATACCAGCTCTAAGCAGAAGAGACATTAAAAGCAAGTACTGTAAAGAAAGAAAACTTATCTCCCATAAGGAAAAAAAGAAGAAAATCTCATTGAGATTGTGCTACAGGCTGTCCATTGTTAGATGGTGGTCCTCAGAGCAGTTCCTTCACAGAAAGTTTCGTGGGGTTAAAAACTCAAGCAGGCAACCTACCGAGCACACAGAGCTTTACTGCAGAGCGTTTTATTATTTATTATGAAACTATGTTACTAAGAGCAATAATTATGTGCAAGGCAGGCCGTTTCTTAGCAAAACTGATGCCAATAAACTAAAGAAAGGTTCTGAAGCATATGTGAATGGCTAAAGTTTTTTCTTACAATACTACATTTAGAAAGAGTCAAGCCATGCAACGCTTTTACGGCTTTAGATTTCAATGCATTTTAAAACAAAACAAAACCTTGCAGACTTCAGAAGCTGTGCTCTAGGGACAAGGTCACATTTTTGCTCCTGTCCCTCATGAGCTCTGGGAGAAGCACTGCTCCGGTGCAGATCCCTAGAGTGAGGCTCTCAGAGGCTGCCTGCTGACACCACGTCAGCCAGAACAGGAAACTTCCCTCATCGTTTTCTCACCAGCCAAGTCAAATTCACAGATAAAAGTGGCACTTTAAAAATGTTCCATGGTAGTGTTATGGATAGCAATTTGGTTCATTTTGGAATTCCCCGGAGAACCAAAGTCCTTTTTTTCCAAATTGAATCTGATAGTAAACATTTAGCTTCATTGTATTTTCCTTGTTTGGATATCACGTTGCTTCTTCACACAAGTTGGGAAGGAGACAAACTATTTTATTCCTTAGACATTGGAAAATACTTTCCAGTTGGGCACTGGCTGCTTAATGAAGATTAAGACTTTTAAAGATAGGAAAGCTTTTTGAAGACCACAAAATGAACGGCATTCCAGTATTTTTTGGCATAATCACCATAGCAAGTATCAAAAATGAATTTAAAATATATGTTTACTTTTAATCTACTATTACTTGGGTAATTTTAAGTGAACAAATATTGCCCATTAAAAACCCTGGGGAAAAAAATTATAAATGTATACTTAATTCCTGAAAATGTTATGCCATTTAAAATAGGAAAGAATGCTGAAATTTGATTAGACTTTAATAATATCATATCAGCATGTAAGCTCAAGGTTACTGTATAACCAGTGAAATGCTTAAAAAGAATTTTTATATTCCTCTAAATACAAGACTTGGGAGAAAACAAGATACTGCCTAGGTGTAATAAATACTGAAAGCTTGTCCAGAGAGAATCTTTTTCCAATATTTTGCTGCCCCTGATCATAACACTAAATTGAGTACGAAATATTAATGCTTCTCATTTGCATGTCATCATGGTTAGCTCCATTTTAGAAGGAAAACATGGTTAAGTTCTGACACATCAAAGACTCTGTTAGTCAGTGAGCTGCTGGAGTTACAGTTATTAATGACTGAGCGACTAGAAGGAGTTAATCAGCACCGAGGTGCATGTTCTGAGATTGAGCAGATGGTGTGAAAATACATCGGATTTTATTATTGTAATTCTAATATACAAACACACTGACAGAATAACAGTTCTTAAGGAAGGAGCCAGAAATAGGATAAGCTTTTCTTTTAAATCTCTGGCATTTTATTAATTGAAATTAGGTATGAACGCCGCTTGAGTCCACATGCCGGCCCTTTGATACACAGGCGGGAGGCAGGAAATGAGGAGGGGCAGCGGGAGGCAGGGGAAGAGGTGCCATGCTGCCATGCTCAGCCGCGCAGCCTACAAGCAGCATGTGGAAAGACGGCGAAGGGGGAGGGTACTCACCGGGGTGTTGGACTGCTCTGTCAGCTTTTGCTCCCACATCTTTAAACGTCTTTCTCGTTCTTTAAGCTCCTGCTCCTTAAAGCTGAGATCACGCTCTAGTTTCTTTAGCCTTTCAAGAGTTGCCTCAATTTCGCACCTGCACAGGGATAGCTGGTGTAAGTCTCAACTTTACTTAAGAGACATCAAGCGCTTAGTGGGTCCATCAGAATGCTAATCAAAGTAAAAGACAAATGCCGGTGCTTTAAAATCAACCAGGAAGCTGCCGGAGGAGAAGGAATCTTTCATGTCCTTAAATATTAAGAGGTAGTTTCTAGCTTGAAAATATAAGCTCAAAATATTTCAACAAAGCGTTAAAGAGCTACTGGGGTGCAGCATAAGCTATGGAGCGGGTGTCCTGGTACAACCATTTAGTAAATGCTTACATTTATCTAGCTCTTTACAGTTTGTAAGTGCTGTTATCCATGATCTCATCTTATTCCCATAACAGTCCCAAGAAACACGTATTAATCTCATAGTATAGGTGGGAAAATGATATTCAAGTTAGGTGTTAACACACCATCAGTAAGTGGTTGAGATGACACTTTAGGCTACTCATTGGCTGAGTAACCCAAGCAATCAATTGACTAACCTGACTCAGTTTCCTTGGTTGTAAGGGGTGGTGGTTATAGAACATTAGGGTTCCCCTACCTGCCTGATCCTTAGACTTACATAGGCAACTTGTTTTTTAAAAAACCACACACCAGAACCCAACAAAACATGGATTTCTAGGACCTTTCCTTAGAGCTCATGAGTCAGTAGGCCTGGGTGGGACCCTGGAATTTTCATTATTTTATAAAAGACCCGAATAATTTTTACAATCAGGCAAATGTAGAAAACCCTGGGCCAGATGAACTCTAAGGTTCCTTTTAATTCTCATAATTTTTAAAGGAAGTTATCTCCCTTAGTGTCTATAGGCCAACCAACCTCACCACTTGGAACCACATGCTATGTTACAGAAATTTGTCCTTCACAGAAAGTGGAACTGGTACCATGGCTCAGCACAAACGGTTTTCTCCTTTAGGGCTGTCGCAATGTTTAAGTCTCAATTTATGTTTTCAGAACTGGAAGTTCTTTCCCTTGAGTTTCTGAAAAGCCTTTAAGTAAGCAACAATACTGAGAGAATGAGGGAGAGGGAGAGGGAAGTCAAGGCTAGAGAAGGCACTGGAGAGGAGGATGCAGAAGATGGGAACTGGGTGACTATTGCAGAATAGCTGCTGGGTGCTGCCAGCTGCTGCTTCCAGGTGCCGCTGAGGCAGTCCTGTGTTGCGACCGCATAATCATGATTGAGATGTTGACTATGGAAGGTAGAAGCCCCCACATCTAAGTTAATGAATATATATAACCAAAGTCTGCCTTTTTCTTTCTAGGGAGAATAACAGTAAGTAAACAGCTTACTCTTATTGGAACATTCCAATGCTCTTACAGATACTAACCAAATGAATGAAAACAAAAAGTTCTGGACATTCACTGGCAAAATCCAACTCTGCACAGGTATGGAGGTGGGTCTGGATTTGGCTCAACACTTTACTTCCCTACTTGTCCAAAATGCACCTCAGAGCAAGGGAGGCAGCAATCAGGTGTAAGAAGCCTCTGCTGCAACGCCCACAAATATCAACACCCATCCCTTTTACTGGTGCCATTTGAAAAATCATAAAAGGCTGTAAGTCACATTACAGTCCCTAAAGAAGGCAGTGAATCAGCCATCTTTCAGAATTATGACTGTACCATAAAATCCAAATTTTATCCCTGATATTTCGGATAAAAATATTATGACTATGCACATAAACGAAGTTTTTATTTTTCAATGGAAGACTGAGGGGAAAAAATCAGTGTGAAAAACCTTAGGGTAAATTTTTGTCATAAAAAAAGAAGAGTGAGCCATCTTCAGTTGGTGAAGCGGTCAGTAGGCGGCAAGGGGGTGGTGGGAGCTGGTCGGGCTCAGTGTGCGATGGCAGAGGCCTGGGCCGGCGTCTACATGGCGCTTCTGCCAACCCAGTCCCCACGCCCCTGCCAGTGAGACTAATCTCACTGATGTTCTTTTAGACCAGGGTAAATGGTCACTACATTCTATTTCACTTGTAATTTAAGCCAAAGATGCATCTCAAGTTCCAGCTCTGGGAGCCTACTGCGATTGTGAGCACTTCTGGAAAACGGATCAAGAGTTAAATGGACAGGAAGCTGTGACACAGAAACTAACACCGAGTAAATCTCCGTCTTCAATCTGTCTCCTCAGGCCCAGCTTTCCAACAGCACTCCCGACACTGCCGAGTCTGAAATCGTGTGGGAGGTTATATGCCATTAGAGACGTGACCCCAACCCGGGGACGACATAAAAACAGCTGCTCCCTTGGTTTTTTTGGTGCATTGTTTTGTATCAAATGCATTTGTTGATATATTTATATAACCTTCTTGTTCTAAAAATATAGTTTAAATGTCTTAGTTGATGAAAATTATGGTCTTCTTGTAAGCCAAATCCAATCAAGGTCAATGTCAACTAGTATCAATTTTCCATATGCCAAAAACAGGCAATGAACTGTAATTATCTTCTTTCATCAGACAGAAACTTACTTTGAAATAAAAGGTCAATTTGTAAAAAGAGTGATATAGCATATATATTACATGATAAATGTATAATCTGTTTATTAAATGTAGTGTTATATATTACATGATTTGTGCTAACATTGCACAAATTGCAAAGGTTACATGTTTTGATCTCTGGGTTTTTGTTTTTAAGAAGGCATGTCACGGTGAGAGTACTTTGGTCACCACGGGAAACACAACCAACCAAGTGTTTTGCCAAGAGACACAGATCTGAACGCTCATCACAACACTGCATGCCTCGTTCAGTGCAGGTTGCCACAGATCTACAGACAATTACATAGTTAATGAAAATCCAAAACAGGACCCACAGGATGACACATTTTCTGTTCTTAATGCTTATTGCCATTATTGCTAGTAAGTCAATGGGAGGAGAAACAAGCTGAAGGTCTGATGAATAAGGAAAAGTCTGACACTAGATTTTGTTCCTATCATTTATTAGGTCAAAGGAAAGAACACAGTTTATGTGGTTTTTAATAATGTAGTTTTAAAAAGAGTTTTCAGAATAACCATTCAGTTTTCTAAAAATACAAGTTGCATCTGGTCTATGTGTAGAGGAAGCTCTACCAGAAAATAATCATTTGCCAGAAACACCACAGCAGGATTGGAATCAGGCCTCACTGTGATCACTGTGACTCTAATTTACTAAAACACTCTTTGGACACTAGTCATGTGGTTTCAGACACTAGATAAAAGTTGGGGGGAAAGAGGAAGTAGTTCGAATGTGTTGTCTTTTGAAATGTTGAGATTATCTGATAAAAACATAATTCTTTTCAGGAGTTTACATATTGAGTTAGACACCTTAATAACCTAAAATGATCATGCCCTGTAATATTTCTCTTAGCTAAAAAGGAATTCAGTCAAGTGAATATTGCATACTAATGAGAAGACAGCATGACAATGGCCACAAGTCTAGTAACCGCACTGTACAGCATGGGTGCAAGGGCAGGCTGTGTTACCAGACCACCCAGGTTCTGTTACTGTATGCTGTACTGGGTTCTGTTCTCAGTACTGTATGATTTTGAGCAAGTTACTCAATTTACCTTTGCATCTGTGATATAATTTAGGGTTGCTATGGGGATTAAAAAAGAAAATCTAAATGAAGTACAAGCATCTGGTAAAAACCTAATAAGTGACAACTGTGTTTATTATTATTAAAATTACTATTATAGTCCTCTCTGTTTTTAACCAATTGCCTACTTCAGTGAAAACAGCTCTGCTGCTTCTCAAACTGTGGTTTACTGGTTCGGGTCAGGATATATATTCTCTCTCCAGCTCTCAGAACAGGATTAACAGTTCCTGAAAGATGAGGAGGCCCCCTAGGCAACTGTATTCCTTTTACTAAAATACGTCACTGTATTTTACCTCCTTTTTCCCCCATTGTCAATCATCAGTTTCATTTCCCTCACTTTCACCTTCAAGCATTTTAAAAATTGAATTTATCATGCAACTAGTCCATGTTTAATGTGGAAGAAGTAGGAAATAAAGATATACAAATAAAAAACACTCTCTATAATTCCATTACCCACTGATAACACTGACTTTTTGATACTTTTCTCTGTGTACATATACACAATAATATATTTTATAAAAAACAGAATCATTCTAAACAAACTAGACTGTAGGCTCTACTTTGAAATCATTTATCAGACCTGTGATTTTAGGAATGACCTTATTACTCTGTGTATGGAGATATAATCATTTTTAATTTATTTTTATTCTCTATTGTACTTTATACCATTTCTGATTTACCCTTCTCAATGATGCTTTGCTGAAGAAGTGTCCCTACATTTTTGCACAGCTTTCTCATTTCTTTTCTTTTCTTTTCTTTTTTTTTTTTTTTTGAATAGGATCTCACTCTGTAGCCCAGGCTGGAGTGTAGCGGCCTGATCTCGGCTCAATGCAGCCTCGACCTCCCCAGCTCAAGTGATCCTGCCACCTCAGCCTTCCGAGTAGCTGGGACCACAGGTTAGAGTAACAATGTCCAGCTAATTTTTTTTATTGTGAGTGGAGATGAGGTCTCTCTATGTTGCCCAGGCTAGTCTCAAACTTCTGGGCTCAAGCAATCTTTCACCTAGGCCTCTCAAAGTGTTGGGATTACACATGTGAGCCACCACGCCTGGCCTTGTTGACATACTTTAAAAGACTCCCTATCTTGGTATTAAAATCTTACTAATCCCTTCGATAATAGATCAAATAGCATTTTCTCCAGAATCCTTTTACCATGTCCTTGGACTAGATCAGATTTCATGGTTATCTGCTCTCTAGTATATTTCTCTGTCATGATACTTGTCAAAATAGAAATGAGATCGTTTTGAATATATTTAATAGTTTAACATTGGACACTTGGGCTGGAGAGCTCCATGTGCCCTGGGACTCTTGTGCTCATTGCTACAGCCCAGTACCAGAATGGCACCAGTTGTTCTCACACCAGCAGAAGTTCAATGAATGGATAATGAATGAATGAATGAATGAATGAATGAATGAATGAATATAAGAAGTACTTTTGTCATGGCAAACAAATTAACTTACATATTTATATTCTCTTGTATAATATCACAATCTCTTTTTATATTATTACCACCATGGTAATTTTCTCTCTTGCTTCCCCAAATATTTACTAAGCAAATGCTGTGTTCAAGGCACATTTTGATGCTGTGAGTGATGAGCAAACGTGATTGTCTGCCTCTCTCACATTTCAGCCCGTGAGACACACATTAAACAACTAACTGCCAAATTACTTCTTAATTTCAATAGCAGTAAAGCCTATGAAGGAGATGCTGTCAGAGCACATAAAGTGGAACCTGATCTGGCCTGGGGTCAGGAAGCCTTTCCCTGCAGATGTATTATTCAACTGCTATGTGAATGATGAACAGGAGTTAAGGTGGGGTGTGACGGCAGGCGTGGTTCACAGCTGAAATGGGATAAGTTTTAAAGAGAGGAAACTGTGCTTGTAAAGACCCTGAATGGGGAGAAATATGCATTGGTTGAGGGACTGAAAGCCAGAAATTAAGGGAAGAATGATCCTAAGCTGACGCTGGTGAGGCCAGAGTACTGAGAGTCTTGGTAAGTATTCTGGTCCTTTTTTTTTTTTTTTTTGAGACCGGGTCTTGCTCTGTCACCCAGGCTGGTCTTGAACTTCTGGGCTCAAGTGATCCACCCGCCTTGGCCTCCCAAAGTGCTGGGATTACAGGCGTGAGCCACTGTGCCAAGTATTCTGGTCTTTGTCTTAAGAGCAATGGGAACTCATATATGGATTTTAAAGGAGAGGAGAGTGATCTGATGACATGTATACTCATCTCTTACTGCAAAAAACAAATATTACTTACATGTTTTGTTTTGTTGATTATCTCAGCCCAGGAAAAAAGTCTGTTATACCTAGACTTGAGCTCACTGTATAATTTTTGTATCCCTAAATAAAAATTCATTTACCTCACTGGCCCTAGATAGATATTTCAAAGGAATAAAAACAAATAAGGTTATTGTAAAACAACAAACAGCCCAAAGAAGTATCTAGCAACAGGAGTAAACAACGCAGTAATTTTCAAAGTGCATGCAGTATTCATTTGGCATCAGCAGATGGCGTAAGGCGTCATGTTACTGTCCACGGCTATCAGGAGCAGAGATGAAGTTACCTAAATCTCTGCTGAGTCAGGCGGGGAATAATGTTAGCTTCCAAACATGCTATTTATATTCATGCATCATGTGACCTGGCTCAAATGTTTCATCCTGGGTTTACTCTTCCACTCATACAATACAATTTTCTCATTATTAAGTTTATTCAACAAGCTTTGAAAGTATTTATGACATCCAAAGTTTTCTTTTAAGAGTATTTTTTATAGTCTCCCTGTCCCCCTCCACTAGCAGACACAGTGCTCTGCAAATTTCAAGGTAAACAGTGTTCCTGTTTCTTACGGAACAGAGAACAAAGCTTCCTAACAAAGCATAAACACAGAGAAATGTCTGGTAACCATCTTTTGTCTCAGAAGATATGATTTCAAGTTTTTTTTTTTTTTTTTTTGAGACAGCAGATGTATTATTCAACTGCTATGTGAATGATGAACAGGAGTTAAGGTGGGGTGTGACGGCAGGCGTGGTTCACAGCTGAAATGGGATAAGTTTTAAAGAGAGGAAACTGTGCTTGTAAAGACCCTGAATGGGGAGAAATATGCATTGGTTGAGGGACTGAAAGCCAGAAATTAAGGGAAGAATGATCCTAAGCTGACGCTGGTGAGGCCAGAGTACTGAGAGTCTTGGTAAGTATTCTGGTCCTTTTTTTTTTTTTTTTTTTGAGACCGGGTCTTGCTCTGTCACCCAGGCTGGTCTTGAACTTCTGGGCTCAAGTGATCCACCCGCCTTGGCCTCCCAAAGTGCTGGGATTACAGACATGAGCCACCGTGCCCGGCCTCAGTTTCCTAATTTTTAAACTGAAGTTGGAGCTGAGTTTTTAAAAAGTAGCTCGCTCTTTTGGGAAAAACCCTCCTGGAGTCGTTAGTTCAATAACTTTACTTTCATATCATTCAACTGAAAAGTATCCATTATATGGAAGAAAATAATTGATT